ATCAAATGATGGGAGGAATAATTTCCTTCCTGACCAGTAAACCTCTCCCAAACCCTTTGAAAAAATACACAAAATACAAAAATCAAGAAAGCAGATACTACACTGGGGACCCACAAACACATTAGCCTTACCTCAGACTGAAGGTTAGACTGTTCAGTAGACTTGCTGTTCTTTCAGACACACAAACTGTACAATCCTGGGCTACCTGACCCTCATGAAGTGCTAGGAACTTGAAAAACCAGCCTCCCGTGTTTCCACAATCTATTTACACATCGAACACACCCAGTAGCACAGAGTAATGTTTATCTGTGGTGGACAGCTTTTCCAAGACGCATGCAGTATCTGCACAGCTGAGCAGGGATCAGGAGGGGAAAGGTAATCAATTTCATCTTCTAAAGCACATTTAAGAGGTTTTCTGACATGATATACTTTTTCCACTAGTGCTTTGAAGGTGATTCATTCATTCTTTTAACAGACTTTTCAACACCCGGAAAACTCTATGCTTAAAGGATCTGAGAAATATATATGAAATAATAACAACTAACACCTTATGTGCTATATTCTGTTGTAAATGCTTTGCATATGATCTCCTAAAACTCCCCACATTTATTAGGTATGTACTAATATTATTATTTCCACATAATGAATGAACAAACAATAGTCTACTCATTGTCACCCAATTAGTAAATGGTAGAACCAGAAGATACGCCCAGGTATTCCATGGATGTGTTTTTTTTTCTGTTGTTGTTGTTTTTTTTTTTTTTTTTTAGTTTTCAGCGGACACAACATCTTTGTTTGTATGTGGTGCTGAGGATCGAACCCGGGCTGCACGCATGCCAGGCGAGCGCGCTACCGCTTGAGCCACATCCCCAGCCCCACCCAGGTACTCCAATGTGGTAGTCCACTATTTAACGTTGCATTGCACTGAGCATTACGTAATAAATAAGGCTCTCTTGGGGCATGTGTTGCACTGCATCTTGAGTTGAAGAAAGTGAAGTTTTTAGAAAATTATTTTCCTAAGATGATTTATAGTACCACAGTCATGTCTATTTTTAGCAACCGTGGGAATCCCAAAGAAGGGGCATAGTCATTACTTTTAAGGCTTCTGCAAAGTCTTGGCTGGATGTCCAGGATATTAACAAGGTATTTTCAAGGTCATTTTATTCTTGCTGCACCAAAGCTCCAACATTCCCCAACACTGGCTAACTAGTAATAACTTTATTCCTCTTTCAAACCTGTAGCAGACATGTGTGGCCCTCAGCCCTCAGCCAAAGACTCCTGAAAAACCTCCAAGTGGATTTGTGGAGTTGTTTTGTTTGTTTGTTTGGTTGGTTAGTTGGTTTTGTTTTTGTGGTGGTGGTGGTGTTTTTTTCTTTTTGATACTAGAGATTGAATTCAGGGGCGCTTAACCACTGAGCCACATTCCCAGCCCTATTTTGTATTTTATTTAGACACAGGGTCTCACTGAGTTGCTTAGGGCCTCGCCATTGCTGAGGCTGGCTTTGAACTCCCGATTCTCCTGCCTCAGCCTCCCAAGTTGCTGGGATTACAGGCCCGCGCCACCACACCTGGCCAAAGTTGTTATTTTAAACCATAAAGTTTTGGGTGATCTGTTATGAAGGTGGAACTGCAGGATAGACCCATAAAAGAAATGAAATATTGAACATCACGTGGTATTTTCTTCGATAAAAATGTATGAACATACTATAAAAGGAACAAAGGAGAGGAAGGTCAATTTTAACCTGGGTATGCCCTTGAGTCTGTGCATGTGTGCGCATGCGTGAAATGACCTCCAGGTTTCATCAATGTGTCATGGAAGAGATGGGGGCTGGAAGAGGCTCCTTCCTACCTTAGCCTCCCAAGCCCCTGGGATTACAGGCATGCACCACGGAGGGATTTGTGAAGATCTTGCTCTGTATAGCAACTTCCTTTCTAATGCCGTGTCTTGCAAATCCCAGCTTTTTCAGGTCTATTGAACTCCAGTGTCTGCCTTCTTAGTTCAGCAGGACCACTGTACTGTGTTCTGCCTGGAATCCAGCTCACTTCCTTGAATTCATTATAACATTTTCCCAGGCAGAGCTCTAGTGTGATGGCTGAGCTACCTTGTAAGTTTCCTCTGAAATCACTGCATTGTCCTTCCTGTTGTACAATGCCTGAAAAACAGGTCATATATTTTCCCCCAATTTTTTAGTTGTTTATACACAGGAGCTCATCCAATGCCAGTTACTCCATCATAGTCACAGTGAAAGTCTCTCAGAGGGATTCACTATTGACTAAAGTGTCACCAAAAACCTCATTCATCCTGCCAAGCCTTATACAGTTTTTCACAATTCTAACCCCTCTCCGAACATGATCACATGTTCCATGCAACAGGAAGGTGATGGGAAACCAGGAGAAACAAGAAAATTTAGTTTGCATCCTGTATCCTTAGCAAGTTCCCTTACAAACAGATGTTGAGACAAGGATTAGTTAAAAGCTTATTTGGGAAGTGTATTAGTTTCTAGTTGCTTCTATAATAAATTTCCACAGTGTCAGTTGTTTAAAACAACACACATTTATTGTCTTGTGGTTCTAGAAGTCAGAAGTTGAAAATCATTTCACTAAGTTGAAGTCTGGTTATTAACAGGGCTGCACCCTTCAGAGGCTCAAGGGGAGAATCTTATTTGCTTGTGTTTTCAGTTCCTTGAGTGATAGTCCTTGTATTTCGTATCTTGTGGCCCTTCCTCCATCTTCAAAGACAATTACGTAGCATGCAAGTTCATTAGTCACATTATCTTCTTCAGTGTCAAATCTTCCCTACCTTCCTCATAAGGATACCTGTGGTTCATTTAGGGCTCGGCCATTTAATCCAAGATAATCTCCTCATATCAAAAGCCTTCCCTTTATCATATCTACAGTGGTTTTTTTTTTTTTTTTTTTTTTGCCACATAAGGTAACATTAACAGGGTTAGGGGTTAGAAATTAGATGCCTTTCAGGGCCATTATCCAGTCTAGCAAAGTCCATTCTGGCTCCCAGCAATTCATATCCAATGCACATGCAAAATATATTCACCCCTTTCTATCAATTCCAAAAATCTCAACCAAGTTTAGTAGTAATCCGAAGTCCAAAATGTCATGATTTAATCAGGTATGAGTGAGACTTAGATGTAATACAACCTGAGACAAAATTATTTTCCATCTGTGGACCTGTTAAACTAGAAAACAAGTTGTATACTCTGAAATAGAATGGTGGGGCAGGTATATGATAAAAGTTATAGATAGCCTGATTCCAAAAGGGAGAAAAAAGTAAAAAGTAGAGTCAGTGGCCCCAAGCAATTCTGAAACCCAACTAACAAGTTCTATTAGGTTTTAAGCCCTGAAAATCATCCTCTGTGGCTTAAAGCTCTGCCTTCTGGGCCTACAGTTCAAACTTTGGGACAGAGGCTCCATCCTAAGGCCTTTGCTTTGATCTCTGGGCATAGTTTAATATTATTGATTAATATTCTTGTCCCTGCTCTATGGATTCTCCTTTAAAATGGTTACAACATCTTTTAGTTATCTCATGAATTAAATAAAACCTTTTAACATGTGTTCATTTCATACCTATAATGAGTATCATGATTTAACCCTGTTCTAAAAATTGTCTTTTACTCATTTCAGATGTCAAACCAAAATGCCTGATATATTCACCTACCATATCCAAGCAAATTTCTTTTAAAAAAAAATATCTTTATTTCATTTTTATATGGTGCTGAGGATCAAACCCAGTGCCTCATGCATGCCAGGCAAGCACACTACCACTTGAGCCACATCCCCAGCCCCTCCAAGCAAATTTCAATGACAAATACACTTTGTGCATGGTTTAAACATATATATATTTCTCGGCTCTTTCAGTGGAATCCAGATCACCTAAAGAATATCATTGACTCTGTTTTTTTTAGTTTTAATTTTAAGTTTAAATAAACTTAGTGTTTGTTTTATTTTAGATACATTCATAACCCACAAATTGTTCTCCAATGTTGGTAGAATGGATGAGAATTTCATTTTAGGGTCTGATGATTTTGAGATCTCTCTAAATGAATTCATGGCTTACAGAGACCTAATCTCTGTTGGGTGAAAAACAACAGAAAATATGGTTTTCCAGTCTTTTTGTTTGTTGTTTGTTCTTGAGCTCAAATCAATTAAGAATCTTGTATCCTTTGGGAAAAGAATGTTTTAAAATATCTAAACCAGTGTTTTCTCTTTTGGTGCTTACTTTTGACTATGCCTAAAATTGTAGAACTAGAGTTACAAGCTTTATTTTTTTCTGCCTATATGTTTGTGAGTATGTAATGTTTTTGTACCTCTGGATGATATTAATATATTAGTTCATAAAAATTGCTGAATTAAAGGAGCTTTATCCTGATTACATATCTACTAGCCAATTATAAATTATAACTATTTAAATAATTTAAAGTCATACAGTTTATGCAAATCTTTAGCAAATAAGACTAGCTTAATATTTTGTGTTCTGTTTTTTTTTTTTTTTTCACATCCGAGAACTTTATTGGACACAGCTGGGCGCCAGGGCCTGGTGGCTGGCGTTCTGCCCCCGACCTGGACACCGGTCGCAAGGGGCGGTTCCATCCAAGGAGTCTCGGCAAGGGGGACCTCACAAGGCAACACTCTACCTAAAGGGTACTATATAGTTGGGAGACGAGGGTTGCTCCACAGACACATGAATAGGTCAAATCTTTTATAAATAAACATCCAGTGAAGAGAAAAATTACAACTGTAATTCATCCTTATACACAGAGCCCTCTAGGGCGGTGGGCGGGGGCCAGAGGCTGGCATCCTCACTGGTCGGGGGCCTGGATGGGAGATGAGTGGGCCAATGTCCACAGCACAGGGAGGAAGGGGCCGGGCCAGGCGGGGCAACACACGATGGGCACTAGGACACTGCACATTTACAAGACCAACTACGGAGGAGGGGGCGGCTCCCCATGCGTGTTGTCAGGCTGTTCTTTCTGGAATGAGAAGGGGGTGGTCTTTACATCATGTTCTGTGACTGGTGAGCTTGAGGGGCTACTTTGTGGAAAGTATGAGGGCCACAATGAGACCGTAGAGGCCAAGCACCTCAGCGAAGATGAGGATCAGAATCATGCCCACAAACAGCAGGGGCTGCTGGGCAGTGCCCTGAACACCGGCGTCCCCCACAATGCCAATGGCAAAGCCAGCTGCCAGGCCACTCAGGCCGACGCTCAGGCCTGCACCAAGCTGGAGGAAACTCCTGTAGAGACTAATACCATCATTCAAGGAGTTGGCGATGAGGACTGCCACCACCAGGCCGTAGATGGCGATGATCCCAGCCATGACCACTGGGATGATGGACTTCATGATCAGCTCCGGCCTCATGACTGACATGGCTGCGATGCCGGTGCCACTCTTGGCAGTGCCATAGGCGGCACCCAGGGCGCTGAAGATCATGGAGGACGAAGCGCCCATGACCGCGAAGAATGAAGCATACTCCGGGCTGTTGTTGGTCTCTGACCTGTCTGCGGGCGGGGGGGGGGGGCGGGCGGGGGGGGGGGGGGCGAGCTCAGCCGGCGCCGGCGAGGTGAAAACAGCGGGCCGAGGAGCAGGCGCAGAGCAGGCGCAGAGGCGAGCGAAGGCGACCTGGCCTGTCAGCCGTTGCGCTCTAAATACCGGCACCGCCATATTTTGTGTTTTTTGATGGTTAACGTTGTCTGTCAACTTGCATGGGCTAAGGGATCCCCTGACAGCTGGTAAAACATTATTTCTGGGTGCTTCTAGGAGAGATTAGTCTTTGAATCAGGAAACTGAGTAAAGATTGCCCTAACCAATGTGACTATGCATCATCCAATCCATGGAGGGCCCAAATAGAACAAGAAGGTGGTAGAGGGAGAATTCAGTCTCTCTAAGCTGGGACATCCATCTTTATCATGGGGGTGATAAAGGGAATTCTTGCCTGCTCAGAGGGATAAGCCTCCTGAGAAATTAAAGTCTAGAATAATTAGAGAAGAACAAAAGACAAAAAGAAAGGATAGTTTTAAAGATGAAGCCCTGATAGGTTCAGTCCAACAGGAGCTGGAGCTGGACAACTAGAAAATGGCTCCTGTGGTTTAGTTAAGGGGGAACATCAGAGGCAGGGGTAAGGTTTCAGAGGTGGAATCTTGCTTTGTGACATCTTGCAGTCAGCAGATTGACTGGTATCTTGGCAGGTTACACCCATCTCAGAGGGGCTATGAGGCTACAGCAGGTCACCCCATCTCTGGTGCTGTGCGGGACCTTGGGCAGAGCTTGAGTAGGGCTCACCATGTGTCTAGGCAGTCAGCCAGAGGAAATGTCCACCGGAAGTTCCAGACACTAGATTATCCTATTCACTAGGCTGTGATGCGCCATGCAGTCCACACACAGCCCACAGATGGCTCTCAACACATCTTCTCCTGGCCTCATACATAGGCATTCCTGGTTTGAGGGCCTATAGACACAGACTGAATTATACCTTCAAATTTCCAGGGTTTCAAGCTTTCAGGTTGTAGAACTTCTTGGCCTCCACAACTAAGTAAGACAATTTCAATAATAAAGCTCTTCATATATATGTATGTGTGTGTGTGTATGATTATATATGTGTGTGTGTAAATATATATTTACATATATATATATATATATATAAAATCTCCAAATATATATAACCAGAAATGTATATATCCTATGGGTTCTGTTTCTCTGGAGAACCCTAATACAGATTTTATGAAAATAATAATGTCTTTCCTAATTTATCAATACTAAGTGTAATGCAATCACATATTTTTATGTTTCTTGGGTGTATTTTTCCTAAAATTATACAGTTTTACTAATAAAATGATCTAGAATTGTTTCTACAACAAGTTTAAGATGTGAATATCATAAATTTGCTTAAACAATTTGAATTCTTTTTCGAACATTCAACGAATGTCTTCATCACTTAAAAGTTGAAACACTGCAGGAATTTAGAACTTTTAAAAATGAAAAGGACTCAGGAGGCTGAGGCAGGATGACTTTGAGTTCAAAGTCAGCCTCATCAATTTAGTAAGACCTTGTCTCAAAATAAAAAATAAAAAGGGCTGGGGATGTGGCCCAGTGGTTAAGCACTCCTAGGTTCAATCCCCAGTATCAATAAATAAATAAATAGGATTGTGAATGTAGCTCAGTGCTAGAGCATTCCTGGGTTCAATCCTGAGTACCCTCCACCCCTTGGCAAAAATCAAACCAAACAAACAAAAACTCAAAGAAATGCATGTAGCTGAATGAAACTGAGTTAGATATATTCATGAGCTATCTGAGAAAAATCACAAACAGTACACAATTATCTACCTCTAGTTTTCTCCATGAAATAGAAGTTGCTTGGCTTAAATGTTATAATTTGTATGTGTTAATGAAATTCTACTAAGGAGTCTCCAGATAAGGTTTATGTTTTACTAAGAGAAAAAGTAAAATTTTTCTGTTCTGAAGCAAAATGGCTTTTTGTCCCACAAGAGGAAAGAGACTGGCAAAAGACAAAATTGAGCAGGTATCAAAAGATTTGGAAAGTTCACAGAACAGAATTTGAAAAAGAGTACAAATTTGTATTAAAATTGTCAAAGCTGACTCAATTTTCATTAGCTAATGCATAAATTTTCAAAAACAGCTTGTGATTTCTTTAGAATTAAGTATCATTTTGGATCTTGAATTCAACCTAAAAATTTGATTTGCTCTGGAAAAAGACTAAGTTTTATTAGAGAATGGATTTGATTTTAATAATATATTGTACAAGATAACTTTGCAAATGTATTCATTTCCTACATTGCTTAAGTAAATTGCTAAAACCTTGGTGGCTTAAAAAGCACACAAATTTATACACTGATAATCCTGGATGTCAGGGAGTCCAACCTCAGTTTCTATAGGTTATTTTCTTTACAATCTGCCCCCAAAGTACAGATTACATATTGCAATAGAATTACTTGCAACACATTCTCACTTTAATATGCCCCAGATTTCTATCTTTAAATGAAAGAAAATAAGTTACTACTTTAGTGTTTATTTAAATATTTATTGCAGTACCACTTTGAGAAACAGATAACTGAGCTACAACCATGCACATTCTCAGGTTTTTACAATCCTACTTAAATCCTGGCAATTTTATTTTTATCTTTCCCTAACAGAATCTTAAAATGAAAAATAAAATAATGCATTGAAATATATTTTTCACTCAAGACATCTTTTAAAATTTCCCATCAGTCCTTGGAAAATAACAAAAATTTACTGTCCATTGATGATGATACTTCTGAGTTGTACAAGGAAAAAAAATTTTCTAATCCAAAGAGGTTATCAGTCTGCATTGTGTTAATTTTTTTTTAAAATTTACCTTATTTATGGTTGACACATACCAATTGTACATATTCCTGGGGTACAATGTGCTACTTGATATGTGTAAACATTGTGTTATGTTAAAATTAGGGGAGGGAAAATATTATTAACAGAAATATTTTAGAAAGTCTGTCTTGTAAGGGAAGAATCTATATAAGTGTTAGAATCTCACTGTCAATTTTATGTTTTTATTTATCAGAGTCCTGGAAGGACTTTCCCTCATATTATTCAATAACACTATAGTGTTATAAAGCATAATTTCAGTTTTTATTTCTAAATGTTTGGTTGCAATCTGACTATTTTAGTTTGCATCTAGCATTTTCTAGGTCATTACTTTTCAACTAAAGAAGCATATCAAATTTATCTCTGGAGGCTCATTCAAATACAGAGGCTTAGCACTCATCCATACTTAACAGAAAATAGGCTAAATCATTTTGTTTATAGATACTTTGACAAAAACTCTTTGTGGCTTTATATTCTTCTCCTTTTCTCCTTATATTCTTCAGTTATATTATTATTGTTGTTATCCCACAGAATTTTTACTTGTGGCAATTAAATATTATTTTACCTGGAATAAGTGAACCACAAGCATTTTACATTTCTGTCAACTCCAGAGAGTTTTTGATATATATTGATGCTTCCCTGAAATCCTACAATCAGCTGCAAGACAGAAATTTTGTCTTCAAAAAATTTGTCTTCAGCCAGGTGCAGTGGTGCACACCTGTAATTCCAGCAGCTCAGGAGGCTGAGGCAGGAGGATCACGAATTAAACAGCTTCAGCAAAAATGAGGTGTTAAGCAACTCAGCAAGACCCTGACTCTAGATAAAATACAAAATAGGGCTGGGGATGTGGCTCAGTGGTTGAGTGCTCTTGAGTTCAATTCCCAGTACCAAAAAAAAAAAAAGTCTTCAAAAAAGTCCAGTCTCAGAATTCAAGAAAAAGGACAGGACCTCAAGTACTTCAGAGAATAGACTCTTGAACACAAGCTTCTCATGTTATCATATAACCACCTTTACGACCATGTCAGTGGATAGTTAGAATTTCCAGAAAGCTTAACTGAGAAGCTTAACATGGCAAATCATATATCTTGAGTAGATCTTTGAAATACTTTTCAACCTCATTTTAAAACCTGGAAGGCTGATGGAAACCCAGGTAAATCAGACTGCAAGAACAGAGTGTTATTCTCCCTCAGAGTAGTATTCTCCCTCTCCTTTCACTATTTTGACTCTTCCTGTCATGAAGACTGCCCCGCCCAGAGTTGAGTTGGTAGATTCCTTTCATCCTACATTTTAGAACTCAAATATCTCACAATCACAATATCAAACCTGCCTTCTTTGGTACATTTTGCTTTAACAGAAGAAGTTTAGAGACATTTCACCCCCAGTTATTCTAGAATATTAAGAGAAACCAATCTTTTACTTCCTTGAAGGACTTCAAAGGACAAACACTAAAAGAATATTAAATGCAGACCCTATTCACTGACTTTTGTTCTATTTAAAATCACAGTCCTAAAACAGTACAAGAAAGTAAATTGAATATTCCAATGTTATGAAAAATAATTTCAGGATTTGTCCACGGTCACAAAAGCAGTATACAAAAGTTCAGAGGTTGAGGCAGGAGGATCAAAAGTTTGAGGCCAGTCTCGGCAATTTAGCAAGACCCTATCTCAAAAGATGAAAAGGGCTGGGAATGGCCGGGTTGTGGCTCAGTGATACAGTGCTTGCCTAGCATATGTGAGGCACTGGGTTCGACCCCCAGCATCACATAAAATAAATAAATAAAAACAAATAAAATAAAAAGTGTTGTGTCCATCTACAACTGAATATACATGTATATAAAAGGTTGGGAATGTATCTCAGTGGTACAGCACCGTTGGGTTCCATCCCAGGTACCAAAAAAAGAAAAAAAAAAGGCAGAAATCTGAGAAATACTAATACCTCAGTATTGAAGACTTGAATTCTTTTTTCCCAAAGGGGAACATTTAACACGTTCTATCTCAAAGCATTTTTCTCAGGATACACTACAGGAACGAGCATCAACAACAAGTAAGATTGACTCCAACAAGTATGGGAATTGAGCAACACCATTTAGGAAACTTTATAGAAATCTGAGATTGTCACATATTTAAGTAAGTGGAATCTTCTTGTTGGGGAGAATGTACACCAGTCTGGGTGCTGTTGAACTCTAGTGATGATTCAAAGATGTCCTTTATATTAGTCATGCACAATAGGATCACATATCTGTCAACAATTGGATAGAACGAGAAACACAGAAAATACCAGTCTTATATCAGAGACAGTTTGAGGAGAATGTAACTTTATTAATTGGTTAAATAAGAATATTTCTGAACATCATGGCTTTAGATTTAACTTCCAGCAGGAATAATGAATTCAAGTAGTATTTGGAGCTGTGCAGGTACTATAAATAAGCAGAGTTAACAATGGGATACAAGAGGGAAGGGTATGGGCTACAACCAACAGAGGATAGTTTTAATGGGGCAGCAGCTAATCATTTCTGTCTGATGTGAGCCATGTACATGCCCAGGCCCTGTGATTTCCCAAGAGAAGTCACAAATTAAGATTTTCAAATTGAGATTTTTGATTTTGTTTGATTTTTTTAGCGTTTTTAAATTTAGATCTTTAAATTATTTTTAGATTTTGATTTATTCAGTTTGTTATTTTAATTTTTATTATTTTTTTTTGCAGTGGTGAGGATCAAATCCAGGGCCTCGCTCTTACCAAGTGAGCATATTACCACTGTGCTACATCCCTGGCCAAAAACATGTTGATTTTTAAATGTGGATAGCCAATTAATTTTCTTTCTAAAATAACACTGTATTCCTGATGAAGCTGAATAGGAATGTGACCTGGGCACTTTGTGATTTGTGAATTACATAACAGTATATTGGAATTCAGTAGAAGGATTGCTCTTTTTAGAATCATCTTTTGGGAGTAAGAAAGGCCCTTTTCAAAATTTCAGACTGTCAGATTCTGGTCATATCCTTCAGGATCTGTCACGGTGGTAAGGGGACCTGGGGCTTCAAAAGGCATCATTTCCCCAGGCAATGGCAATATTATTCTAAATTCCCCTCAAGACTTGACTCTTGGGCTCATCCATTGTCACGGATGATAATTTCTGCTGTGTTGGCCTGTGTCAGACCCTGGCAGGTCCTGACAGTGACGTGACCACAGACCTGGCTGGTAGCCTCTCTTCGGTCAGGTTTTAGCATTCTCTCTCCACAGGATCCGAGCTACAGGGAAGGTTTCCTCACATCACCCACCCATTGTTCAAAAAGGCACAAGAGGCTTAAACCTGGGTGGTCTCATGCCTTCTCAAGGGCAGTAGTTCTCACTGCACCCCTTTTCTTCCCGAGTATACATTTCTTTGCACACGTGGAAGGGGCATTTGGCATGATGATTAGCCTGCTGCCATGCTGGTCAGAGTCCCCATGTTTCCTGTGAACACCACAAACACAACTGAACATAATATATAAAGGGACAGTAGTGTCACTGCTGATCTTCTAAGCCCCTTGACTCTGTAGAGGGCCCACCAGCAAGGGCTCATTCAGGTTTAAACTCCAAGTGCCACCTCACACACCAGAGTGTGACTCAGACTACTCCCTGACATTGCCCATCTTAGAGGCACTCATTCTCCACAAAAGGACACAGGACTAGGAGAAACCCAGGCCCTGGACACTGAGATGTTTCACTGCAGGGAAGAGAGGGGCAATGGTGTCCCTACCATGTGATCAGCTGAAGGGGACCCTCCACCAGCAGTCGCTGGGGAGAGGCCTGCTTGCTACTTGCATGAGCAGTGCAGGAAGAGATGAACTTGGCCAAGGAGTGCTTCATGGCTCTATGTGGAATCACAGCTTTGTGGGGTGGATGTCCTGACCATGAGGTTGCTGTGTGAGGACCTGCGGGTATTATGTGACAAGAAAGGCTTCTTGGGTTTCTACATGCACAGCGTCCAAGGAGCCCTGACACTGTCTCCATCTTCAGGCTGCTCCTGGGAATTAGCCAAAGGCCAAGCCAAGTGCTTCTGTTTCCACAGAGGCAGGGAGGGTGAGTCTGCACCAGGCACAGGGAGCACAGAGGAAACCAGAGCGTGGCCTGCCACTGCATAAGCCCTCTTTTAAAATGAGGCAGAGTGTAAGAATATGAATAAAGAATAAATGAATTAGCATCCTCATCATTCCTGTTTCAGACATTTCCTTGTGGTTTCTCCATCCCTCCTCCATCTTTGTGTGAACACCCCATCCCATTAAGTTCATGTCAATGGTGTGCCACATTCTCCCCCCACTCCCACCACTGCCACCTTCTGACTTCAGACTTTCTCTACTGTGAAGAAAGCCTTCCCCACCTCAGTCATGGTTTTCAGCTCCTCCCCAGTTACCAGCTTCCTGCTGGGAACCCCACATGCCTGGGAAGGCCCCAGCCAACCCCCTGGCCTCCCAGGGTCCTCCTTGTTCAGGGCCCACAAGGACAGCTTCTCTGCCTCCTACCCCAGCCAGCCCCCCCACACACCATGGAACGCACTGTCCCTATTAGAAACCACTCCCCTGAAATCACTGATTCGAACACCCCACACTGACCCCCGCTGTCACCCCTCCAACCCTCTTTGGGATAGCCCCTCCTGGGTGCCTCACAAACCCCTCCAACTCAACATGACAGAAACTGAGAGGAGTCACATCCACAAGCTTTGACTTAAACGCTTTAATGATGATGACAACAGCACAGGCTCCCTCCTCTATGGGATTTTGGAGCTGAGTGAGACACTTGATGGAAGTCCCACCAGGGCTGGAGACCCAGGCACCATTACTTCCTACTCTTGTAGGCCTTGTCAGTTCCCAGGGATTTGGTGTTAGCCTTGAAGAGGCGGCAGAGCTGCGGGTTCTGTTCCAGCACCTTCTTCACATGATCCGGGGTGATGTGTGCCCTGCGGTTGCTCTCGGCCTTCTGAGCTGCCAGATCCAGGATTTTAGCTGTTAGGTACTCAAGGACACCAGCCAGGAAAACGGGTGTAAAAAAGCTTAGACGCTGGGCATAGTGATCTTGTCTCAGGAGGCGGTCCACGTGGGTCACAGGGAACTGCAGCTCTGTTCTGATGGATCTGTAGATGGTCTGCTTCTTAGTCCTGTAGTTCTGATGGTATTTTTTTTCCAGCCATGATGCTTGATGGCTTCTGCTACCACAGGCTGTGCTTGATTTCTCCAGTGGCCGGGGCCTCTTGAAACATCAAAGCTTAGTCCTGCTCACTATATCAGTGTGTTCCAGTCCCTCATTGGTCAGAACCTGCCTTTGTGACACCCTACACTTTATGATATCACTGGTGTCCACTGGGCCCTGATCAGGCCTCGGTCTACAAATGCCCATAATAGGAAGTTAGTGGCCTTAGGGGACTCTCTTCTTGTGGGAATTCTAACTTTCTATTGGGCTTTAACATTCTAGTACAAATTCATGTTTCACTGAAAACATTACTCTACCTAGAGCACACTATACTAGGTTTTCTGATTATTCTAGCCTTACTTTGTCTTTATTCTTTTTCCCATCCCTTTTGAAATCTGGGTCACTGATAGACATGTTGAACATGTTGTCTGGGAGAGGTCTATCTGCTCTCTCATGTTGTAATAAAAACAATTTTGCCTCCATTTATACAGTTACTTAAATATTCATGATAAACATTTCTCCATCTGAACTCTTTTTTTTTTGTGCTGGGAATTGAACCCAGGGCCTGGGCATGTGAGGCAAGCACTCTACCAACTGAGCTCTATCCCCCATGAAAAACATTTCAATGTCTGTTTTTTGGATTCTTTTTTGAACTGCGTATAATATCTGTCAATTCCCTCGTGAGTTAAGAAGAGTCTTTCAGAATATTTCCATTTCATATCTGCACGAGTACCATGATTTTACTCTGTTTGAAAATACCGTTTAAACTGTATTTGAGGCCTACTGATATTCCCAGTAGATTCACCTAGAAACTTTAGTAACAGAGATGTATCCTCAGGCTCAGTAAGGCCCAAGAGTGTCTTTTCTTGCCTGTTCTAGGTGTATCCAAAGCACAACAGAACTCTGTCAGTTTTGTTTTTTCTAGGTATAATTTCAATGTTGAATTTTTCATTTCATTTTCCTTCCTACTCATTTTATATGTCTAGTTTTTGGTCTCAAATGGCTAATAAGTTATTCTCTTCATTGACAAAATGGTTGGAAATCTGGTTTTAGGTTCTGACCATCTGGAGATCTCTGTAAATGATTTATAGAAATCTAGTCTTTGCTGGATGAGACACACAGTGTATTTGGTTTGTCAGTTTTGTTATTTATCTATTTGTCTATTTTAAGGTCAGATCAATTAAGAAATGCATACCCTCTGGGACAACAATTATTTTTGTATCTGGACCAGGAAATTTTGCTGTTGCTTTTTTTCATTTGACCCATGATTGAATTGCAGAGCTGAAGCTATAAACTCTATTTCTCTGTGCCTCCATGTCTCTGCCATTCAGAAATATATATTTTTAAATGTCTTTATTTGTTTTAATTAGCTATACATGACAGTAGAATGCATTTATGCATTTTGATACCTCTGATTATGTATTTTAAATTTTCCTACCTCTGGATGGTTTTGACAGATTATTAAGTTTCTCAAATTCATGAAGCTCTGTTCTGATTTGCATATGTAGATATATAACTGGTTATATAAATTAAATATTTCAAAAATTCACTTTAATAAGAAAATTGAACTATAATAACTTTAAACTTGATAGATTTAAACAATATATATTCTCTCAGAAACCAGCTCACAACCGTCTAAATTCAAATGCACATAATTTATGTAAGTCTTTGATAAACAAGATAGTTTAGGTTTAATGAAACAAACCTATATCTGCTCTTATTTATCAGCACCAGGTCTAATAAAACCATACATTTTTATGCTATTTAGGTGTGTTTTTCCAAAATTATGAATGTCTGCTAATCACTTAATTGGCATTACATCTTTTTGATCTTTAAGATTATGGGATGCTGGGTGTGGTGGTGCACATCTGTAATCCCAGCAACCTGAGTTGGTGGCAAAGGCAGAAAGATCACAAGGCCAGCAATTTAGTGAAACTTAGTGAAACTCTGTCTCAAAAAAAAAAAAATAAGAAGGACTGGAGATCTAACTCAGTGGCAACGTGTCCCTGGGTTCAATCTCTAATACCATAATAAACAAATAAAACATTATGAGAAATATAAATTCATGTTTTATTAATTGAATCATAGTAAAGAAGTTTTATAGTATGTCACTTTAAAGATTTTTTTAATTCTAAGATTTTTAGATCATGCAAAAGCTTGGACTTTATTGTTATTACTATTATTATTTTGAGAAAAAAGTTTATTGCTTTGCTAGCAAAGGAGAAACACGGGGGTTTTCTGTCCCAGAGGCTGTGATTCTGCCCATCAGCAGGAACAGGGGGCTTTTAAAGAGGGATTCAAAGGCTATCTTTCACGTGTTCTCTACTGGAGTTGTAATTCACTTGTTCTCTGTGAGCTGCAGCTCCACATGGCACATGGCACAGAGTAGTCATCATCCTAATCTAGCACCCTGCCAAATGCCCCTTCCAAAAGTACAAGGAAACCTATTCTCAGGAAGAAAAGAGGTCAGAGCAGGAATCAGCCCTTGGGAAGGCATGAGACCACCAAGTTTAGGCCTTTTGTGCATTCTGCAAATTGGGAGTGAAGATGGTGAGGAAGCTTTCCCTTGATTTGGGCTTGTGGAGAGGACACCACTGGTGAACTCTCCAGTGGGAGAGATGGTGGGAGTGCCTAATAATAATGATCATAAAGAACTCAAGAGCCTCAAATTTGTCCTGAGTTAATTTGAGCTTGACCTCATAGACCTACAAATCTTCCTAATCTCCTATATTGATTGGTAAATTGATAGTTTTTCACTAATATGCTTATGAGTTACTGTCTTCCTAATTTCCAGAGACTAGCCAAAATACCAATTGCTTTTGTGCTGATTGTTTACAAAAAAGTAATGCTTTGCTGTCCTGTTTATTGTTATCTTAGTGTGATCCCTGCCCTATGTATGCTTTGTCCACCTGCCATCTGCCACTGTGGACCTCTGGACTGCTCTGTTGCTGAATACCCTTAACTGTCCCTGTCTCACCTGATACACAGCAAGGACTTTGGGTTACTTCCCCAAATTTCACCTTCTTTTAGCAGGAAGCAGCTTAGAGATGTTGTCGCCCATTTTTCCATAGAAATGGAATGTAGAAATTGACAATGGGGAAATATAACAGTGACCCACTTTATGCTTCGAATATAGCCCTTGCTGCTCTGCCACTACCACTTGTTTTTAAAATGGACATGTTTCTTTTACTTCCTCTGTCTCTGCTCCACCCTAGTCTCTCCCCTTCCCTAATCTCAGGGGAAACAGGGTACCATTCTTCCACACTCTAGGCAGAGCTATCTGTCCTTGAGCACACACCCACAGGAATGAAGTAATCAGACTTTGGGATGGTACCAGAAGGTCTCAGAATGACTGTCTCCCAAATGAGTGGAAATATTTAGAAAAACCCAAGATTGAGGGACTCTTATGCCTCATCTCATACATGACCAAACTGCTGCTCAGAAGGAAAAAATAAATGTCCAAGATTATGTGGCCAGAAAGTGGTGCACGGGGATCTGAAATCTGGGTCTCCTGATTCTTTTTGGGAAGTGAACTTGGTAGCTTCTGAGCAGCCCTCTGTGAAAGGCCAGCAGTCTCTTGAGAACCCGATGATCAGTGAAAACCTCAATATGAACACTCACAGACAATGGGATAGATTATTAAAATTGACACCACAACTTTAAAACTTAGTATAGAGCATGAAATTTACAAAGTATTATGTACTTCTGTGTCCACTACTCATAACAGAATTACAGAGCTTATTCCTTTTCTTTTTTTGGTACTGGGGATTGAACCCAGGGGCGCTTAACCAGTCATTCCCTAGCCCTTTTTCTGTTTTGAGACAGCGTCTTGTTAACATTGCTTAGGGCCTTGCCAATTGCCCAGGCTGGTTTCGAACTCACGATCCTCCTGCCTCAGCCTCCAGAGCCTCTGGGATTACAGGCATTTGCCACTGTACCTGGCTACATAGGTTATTCTTAAACCTCTTAAAGCATGTATTTGGCCACTGATATTTCTTTCCTCTTCTATCAAATATCACTCTGATGATTACAATTTTAATCCAAAACTAGGATAGATGATCATATTATAAATGTAATACATTCATAAGTAAGCCTGTCCATTAATAATTAATAACACTTAAGAACTGCTTAAGTGAGCTCATAGGTTTTAGATATCAAGGCCAATGTCTATAAAAGGAGAGAGAAAATTATATTCACTACACTAGCAAATAATCCACACCATAAGTCATTTTTTAGAATGAGATGATACATAAATAACATATGATGTTAAGCCCATCCCATTAAGTTCATGCCAATGGTGTGCCACCATCTCCCCCCACTCCCACCACTGCCACCTTCTGACTTCAGACTTTCTCTACTGTGAAGAAAGCCTTCCCCACCTCAGTCATGGTTTTCAGCTCCTCCCCAGTTACCAGCTTCCTGCTGGGAACCCCACATGCCTGGGAAGGCCCCAGCCAACCCCCTGGCCTCCCAGGGTCCTCCTTGTTCAGGGCCCACAAGGACAGCTTCTCTGCCTCCTACCCCAGCCAGCTCCCCCCCCAGGGACCGCCCTGTCTCCATTAGAAACTGCTCCCCTGAAATCACTGGTTCAAACACCTCACAATGACCCTCACTGCCACCCCTCCAACCCTCCTTGGGATAACCCCTCCTGGGTGCCTCACAAACCCCTCCAACTCAACATGACAGAAACCGAGTCAGAACCATTGAAATGGATTTACATTATTTAATAACATTTGTTGATGACAAAATTGGGGCTTCCTCGGCTGTGAGACGTGACTCCAGCCGAGGTTCTGAGGCTGGGCTCCTCAACGCATTTTTCAGCCATTCCTCCTGGGTCCAGGCATCTCATCGAACAAAGAGAAGGACACATTGTTGAAGACACGAGGGGGCTCACAGTTATGATCTTCTTTCTTCCCACGTTGAGGGGTGGTTTGTGGTGTCCTGGCCTCGGAGCCTGCCAGCTCCAGGATGTAGTCAGTAAGGCGATCAAGCATGGTGAGGAAGAAATGGGTCATTGAGGAACATATAAATGGGGTGTATTGCTCTTCCCGTAGAAGGTGGTACACGTAGCTCACAGGTATCTGAATCTCAGGTCTAGAAGCAAGGTCTTCAGTGTGATGGCTCTTTCTACAGGAGCTCTCTTTCCTTGACATGATGGTTTCTGGGTTTGGCTTGGGTCAGCTCTGCTTGATTCAACAGGTGGGCTGGGTCTCTGAAGACACCAGCACTCATTCCTGCCCATTATATCCCCAATTCCTGTCCCTCATTGGTTAGTCACAGTCTTTGTGACATCCTTGGCTTTAAAGTGTCATGGCTGCCCACCAGGCCCTTAGGAGGCCTCAGGCTAGAAATGCGTATCACAGGAACCTGGTCATTCTAATGATTTTTAGGGAATTCTTAATACTGTAGAAATAAATGTGTGC